CAAAATGGATGATTTTAACCACCTTTATGGCCTCTTGGTGTGTCATGGGATCCATGTGAACCATCCCAACCTCTTTCATTTCCAAGCCCATAATAGTTGATAGGCGTGTCGCGTACCTAACAAAAATAACCAAACTAACTCTACTATGTAGTTGAGCAAGTAGGGATTGAATCCCACAAGACTAAGGACTAACTAATTAAACTAACTCAAATTAATACTAAGCAAGTAACCAATCAATATCGAGAAATCTAAACTAAAACAAATATTAACTATTAATCAACGGAAATAATACGGAATTAATCAAGAACTAAAAGACATCTAAGATTAAGTATCCCCACTAATACGAATCAATGCACAAAAACCATCCCTTATCCCTCAATTAAATCAATCAACATTCCAAAGGACGAATGCTCCTTGTAACAATACTAAGAGTTTCTTTCGATCAACTAATATCTTCCCTAATATGCAATCATACCTATTCTCATGAAATCATACATATTAAAGACATTAAGAACAACATCCTATAAGTCGAACAATTAGCTATTCTCATGCATAAATAAAGGCTCTTACTTTTAATTAGGGTTTTATAATCAATTAAGAATCAACTCTCGTTGCAAACCTAATCATATTCAATAACACTATTTCTAGTCGTTTATTGATAATAAAACCAACCCTAACAAAGAAGAATTATAAATTAATTAAATTGGAAATTGGGAATCAATTAACACATCAATCTATATTAGGGTTCAACCTAACCCTAGATTGTAAAACTACTCAAACATGATAATTAAATAAATAAAATAAACAACAAGAGAAAACATAATAACAACAACAATAATAAGAGAGTAAAGGAGAAAATACTTGAATTGAATTAATGGAAGCTTGAAAATAAATCTTCAATGAACAAAACTTGGAAGAACAAAAGAGAAAAAAATAACGAAGGTAAAACTGAAAATAAAGAATATGAAAAGTCTCCTTATTTATCTTCCTATTAGCCTATTTATATCCTAGTACAAAACTAGGAAATTCTATCATATTAGGAATCTAAACACATACATGATAGTTAAAAGAACGGCCACAAGCGGGTTGTGGCGGGGAATAATTTGCCACAGACGGGTTGTGGAGTAGGCTGCCACACGTCCCATTGCGCACTAAACGTTTCCTCTAACAAATCAAACCACAACCAAGGAAAACATCTAGCAAACCAAGCCCTTTTCCTACAAAAACAAAATAAAACATACTAAGGAAAGCAATATCGAAATATGAAGAATAATAGCTCTAATAGATTAAGAGAATGGAGAAAACACAATAAAATAGAATCAAATATAATATATAAATCATGTATAATAGCGTGTTATCAATAGTCATCAAAAATTGTTCAAAACAAAAGACTATAATATACGAAATTGGATCATTATTAAAAGTTTCGAGATTCAGTGTAAAAAATTTTCCGGATGGCAGGGGATGCAACCCGGGATTATATAAATTTATTTTGAACCATATACGACCGCTAGTAGGTCATACAAAGGCCTGCAGTGGTCTCGAATTAATAAAGGGACATGTGTACATAAACAATTAAATTGACGGACGATTCCAACAATTCAAATGATCTCCTGAGTTGTCGTGGGATTAATGGGAAGCGCTTTGACCTCTTTAATTCTCGTATCTGGAAAAGTCGAAAATGTCCAAAATTGTCTATATAATACACTTGTTAAGGACTTTTGGGATAGTATAGGATGCATCTTAGTATAATGGCCTTGAGTTAATTGGTGTTAATATATAAATGGCTAATTTGCATTTTAAAGGAAAAATAATGGTTGATTTCAACAACCTAAATGATCTTAGGTGCCGTGGGATGTATGGGAAGTATTCCATCCTAGTCCAAAAAAATTGAAAATTATCCAAAATTGACGGTTTTGTGATAAAAGGGTCGGAGCTTGAGCTTAAGCTCTCACCATAATTCTTGTACCGGATGCGAGTCAGAACTCAATCCGTGATCACAAATTCTTTAAACAGACGGGTATACACTAATTTATTGTAAAATGGGTTAAAGTTATTATAAAAGTATTTAAAGTTACCCTTTATACTACAAAAGTAATTGTTTTTCTAATAATAAATTTTATCTTACAAAAAACTTATAATGTATTAGATTAATCATATTAGTCTTTATAGTATGTAATCACGTATTTATAAGAAATTACACATTAAAATAAAAATTCAAACCAACGATAAATTAAATGTTACCCTTTAAGTGATTAAAGTTACCATAAAATAGTTAAAGTTACACTCAAACTGATTATTTAACAATAAATTAACGCACACCCGTTATACATAACACTTATTAATCCGTGATTGTTTGGTGAATAGAACCCAATGAAGTCATGGTGACATCGAGTAATGGGCCTGGTCAATTTGTGAACAAACCGTGATGTTTGTGTAAAAGAGCTAAGCTCAATCTCCCATGTCATCCTCATTGGGCTGGACATACTTTTTGACCAGCCTGCTGAATTTTTTGAATCCATAATTCTAATTTGAATTTATGAAGAATAGTCTGGAGTCTAAAATGTTTACATGACGAACCAATCTGATCTACTGAATTTTGATCATATTTGTATTCATTTATAGTTTATACTTATCAAAATAAAAAAAAAAGAAATTACAAGTGCATAGTTTTATATTCTTAGTTAAGTTTTAGTTGCAACTTTTACTATAATTAAATGCTTAGTATTAGTTGTAACTTTTCCAAATATTTCCCTTTTTGATAAATTTTTTTGCTGAAAATGTCAATATTGCCCTTATTTAAAAAAATTAAACATATACTTAGATAATTAATTAAATTACACTAACAACTTAATCTGAATATAAATTTGGTCGGTGGTTTTGGTGATTTACGGTGGGTTTGTGGGTGGTTTTGGTGATTTTCGTGGGTTTGTAGATGGTTTCGATGGTGTCGGTGTTGGTAGGTTTAGGTGGTATCGGGGGTTTCAGTGGCGGTTTGGTGGTGTCGATCGGTGGTCTGGGTTTCTGTGGTGTCGATCGGTGGTTTGGGTATAGGGGGTTTCGGTGGTGGTGGTCTGGGTTTGGGGGTTTCGGTGGTGCGGTGGTGGTGGTGGTCTGGGTTGGGGGTTCGGTGGTGGTGGGTGGTCTGGGTTTAGGGGGGTTTTGGTGGTGGTGGCCTGGTGTGGTGAGTGGCTTGGGTGGTTAATTAATCAAGTTTATTTTATCTCTCTCCTCTTTAATCACATACCCATTTATCTCATAATCACCATTAACAATTTTTGACTTGGGATCCATGTTGCACCTCAAACTTGCAACTAAAACTTAACGAGGTAGTATCCAACTTTAATAATGTTACTCTTGTATTTTTTTAAAAAAAAAAAAACTTTTAATAATGTTACTAATTAATGCAAAAGTATAGACATTTTAAGAAATTATGATCTACTATTCCAACGTAGTATAGATTTACCAATTTTCATTTGATCTATTCAAATTTCAAATTTTTTTTTTCAAAAATTCTCCAAAAAGGCAAGTGTACGTTAATTTATAAAAGACGGTTTAAAATTATTTTAAAAGTATTTTAAGTTATCATTTATACTACAAAAGTTATTATTTTTCTAATAATAAATTTTATCTTACAAAAACTTATAATTTATTAAACTAATCATATTAGTCTTTATAGTACATAATCGTGAATTTATAAAAAATTACACATTAAAATAAAAATCAAATTAACAACAAATTAAAAATTACCCTTTAAGGGATTAAGGTTACCATAAAAATAGTTAAAGTTAATCTCAAACTGACCGTCTTACAATAAAATTAACATACACCGCCTTACACAAGATTTTTTTTTTTTTTTTTTTTTTTTAATTTTTGGCAGAGGTTTGGTCTATTTCTATTAAGAATAATTTCTAAAATAAGTTCAAAAGAATAAAGTCTACCATCCATTGAATTAAAATTATGACATTATTATAGTGCTAAACAACTTTCTTACTTGGTTGACCACAGAAAATAATCTTGTACTCCGTATGATTTAATAGTTTTCATGTAGCCGTGTAGCTTTAATTTAATATTGCAATTGATGTTTGGTTGAACATCACAATGAAGGGGCAAAGTAAGCAACATTCTATACCTGAATAATTACTCTCGAAAAAAATTATAAGCAATTACTAGTTTACTACAGTACATATTTTCAGTATGATGTTACAAATATAAAACGGAGAAAGTATTAGCTACGACGCACGCTGGGCAGTCCTATGTACAATCACACTTAGAAAGCAAGAATAAATACAGTCATTTAAGTGTCTTTATATCTGGCTGTCGAATCATTGACATGCCACATGATCTTCATGCAGGCGTGCACATCGGCAGGCAGAAAGTATCTTGAACTAATATCATGGCATAACAAGTAACAACAAACACAATACAAATATACAATAACAAAAATAACTTTCAATGATAACTCAAAAATATAATAATAACATCCTTTCATACTTGTATAATTTAGTAACACTTAAAACACACTCACAACAAACTACATAATTTAACTGCTAATGCAGTTATTACACTTGATTTTGCTTAAACACAAACTTAACAGACAATAATCACTTAACTCAACTCAAACCAAACCTTAATTATTCCTAAATACTTTATAAAAAAAAAAAAAAAAATGCCACTTCTAAAATTACCAATTAAATATTGGCGGGTGGTAAAAACCCACCTCTGCCTAAATTCTGTCCCATTATAATATCAGGACAGAAATAAAATAACCCATGACGCATAATTGAATTTCTTTTTTTAGAAAAATAAAAATATGAAATGGGCTTGGTGTTACAAAAAAGGCCCAAATCAATTTTTTAATTTTCCTTTTTAAATTCAGGACTGATATATAATAAGGGTTACAATAAAATTAACCCTTATTATTGTGTACCCCACACTTTGTATTTAAAAAAAAAAAAAACTACACTTAGTTAATTATGCCTAGTAAAAATATGACTTTCTTTTTTTTTTTTTTTTCTAGTGATATTTATGTATTAAAATTGGCCACCGGTGTAAGTTTGGCCAAACGACCAATTAGGAGGTGCCACGTTGAGGGCGGTGACAGTTCGGCCGTCACTGGCGGTGACCTTAAAGGAGAGGCTTTGACCATTGAGGAGAGAGTTGCTTTGCCAATTTTGCCCCCAGTTTCTTGACATAGATTGCCAATTAGTTCTAGACCCTTTGATTGAGGCTGCATGAACATCTCCTGCACCTCCAACGTTGGTGATTAAAACCAAGTTGAAGTAAGAATGACCGTTGATTGTGAATCTGATTCCACCCTTCTTTCGGCATGGTACTCTGCATTTACATACATAGGATTATTATTAATATTATGATTTTCTTTTAAATTTAATGGCACAGTATTTGGACATGTCACATAAAAGATATGAGTAATTGTTCTTGATTTTAGGGTTTGGTACCTTTCCAAGGTGGAAAAATAGGTTTATGACTTTGATGTCGTATACTCGTATGGAATAAAGTTTGGTATATTAATAAGTTAATCATAGCCTAACTTGTTAGACTAATGTCTTGTAATAAGTATTTCATCTGTTTCATATTATTTGTTAGTTGTTACACACTGCATAAATGAAAATGTCATACGGAGTAATACTTAATTGTTACATACAGGTACGGAGTACTATTTTTGGCAAATTATAACACCTAAAAATATACTTAAAATACCCTTGTGTAATATAAGGTAGGGACAATATTTTTATGCCAAAAGTGGTGTCTTGCGTTCTCTCTTTAACTTTATTAATATATATATTTTTATGCCAAATGTGTATTTTATGATTATTGTGAAACTGAGGAAGTACATGCGATAGTCTAGAGAGTCTTTTGTGTTACCATAGAAGACAAAAATCAATGTGATTAACCCAAGTTCTATATGCCTGCAATCAAGGTTAATTATCCTTAAATATCAATATTTTTTAAGAATAATAGTTTGGTGCATACATTTTTTTTTTATTTTTTACAACAGGTGCATACATTTATGTGACCTTTTATACATGCATGAATGATGTAACTAGCCAAGTTTATCAAACAACTATTGTATGTTCTCTTTCACAAATATAAACTCAAAACACATAACATGGAACTAGCTAAAAGATGGGCACTAGTGTACTCTTTTACTACCAAGTACATTTACTTTTTCTAAAATTAAAATCAGTAAATTAATTAAACCCCATACCCCCCCCCCCCAACTTAATTAAGAAAAGCAACCCCCAAAACAGTTAAAGAAAAGAGCTAACGACAGTTAGAATTAAACTAACAAAAAGAATTAGTGGGTTATGATATATGCATAATAAAATCACATGGCAATATAGTACAATTAATATTTATTTTAACTTAATATTCCGTAATTTTATTTTTAGCTCCTTATGTGCAATCAGTGAGCCGTATAATTAGCTAACCTTCTAAAGGAAACGGGGACAATTCCAGCCTTGTAGTGAGCCATTTGCTGGAAAACAGGCTGAGCAAGGTCAAAGTGCCTCAAGGGAGGGTTGCACCAACCTCCTGCGTTGTTTGGCAGCGCATTGTTTGGTGGGCAGAAATTGGTGGCCGTCACAATAATTGACCCCGGAAGACACCACCTCGCGTCGTTCACGCACCGCATCTCGTAGCACGCCCCGCAGCTCAACCCTCCGTTGAACAGCGCCGTGCTCAATGCCGCCGTGTTTGTACCATAGCCTTGGCTGTACAAGTTTCCATACCCACATGCCCCTCCTGAAAATTTTGTATCAAATATACAACAATTAGTTAACATGCATGTACATTAGTAACTAGGAAATAACTTTTTTGTTACACAAATTTTAGAATAATGTGTGCAATAATCAATTTCATGTACGGAGTACTTTATATGAATTATTGGACCGTCTTATGGCTTGTCTCGTTAAATTGGACTATATCTTCTTATAACAAGGTGTTTTAATTAGTGTATCATCCCACCTCCTCGTAATAAAGTATCTATCCGCTCACTTACTAAATTGAGCTAGAGTATCAGCTAGAGGAGGTGGGATGATATACTACAGTAAGTGAGCGGATAGATACTTCAAAATTTGAATAAATTAGATAAAAAAAAAAAAGAAAAAAAGATGGCATACCCATAGTGCCAGAGGCGTCGCCACCACCGTAGAAGGTGGCGTGAGCTTCTGTCCAACCTTGCCCGGCATGGGGATGAGCAAAGGAAGAGTAAAAAAGAAGAGAGGAAATGGTTAGGACAAGGTAGACAACGTGAGACATGTTTGGTTCCTTTAGTGTAAGACTTTATGCACTAAAGGAGTAAAGAAGTTTGGGAAGTGAGTTGAGCTAAAATGGGAGCGGGGTAAGGGGGATTAAATAGAGGGAAAAAGTGAAGTGTGGGGTTTGGTTTTTTGGACTAAAGAGGCACAAAGTTGAAACTTAATTAGCCCACAAATACTAGGGGTTCGATGAGGTCAGAATTAATTAAAAGTTGCTAGTCATGTTACTAAATGATTAGAAGTGTGGTTCACTTATTCCCCAATCGAGAAGTTGATTATAATCAAAGTTAAGTTAATTAATATGTTTTAATGTTATGAATATTCTCTGTTATCGTTACAATTATTTACTAATGGCACTTAGAGCTGGCCGAGCACAGTTAGTATGTCTAATGTTTTAGCAGGTCATGTCTAGAGAACGGGTCACGAAAAAAGTTGTATTGTATAAAACTCATGCTGATTTTATAAATAGAGCCCGCGTGCAGCTTGGTCCACATGTTGGGTCAGCAGGTCCCATTAATTTTTATATTTTTATAGATTGGTCAAAAATAAATTAAGCGAGTCATTGTGCTCGTTGCAAATTTTGAAAATGGTGTCCACACAACCTATGACCCTCTGCCTTTATTTTGTACGCATGCATTTTGTCATGTCGAGCTTATAGCGTGTTCATACCGAGTTGGGCTATTTTCATGTCATTTGGGTCCAAATTCTCATGTGTTGTGTCAACCTGATTCATGGCAAAGTCTTATTGTATTATACTCTTATGTTTATATAATTGAAATTATACATTCTTAATAAACCTAACTCAACTCATATCCGTACCCAAAATTGCTTGATTTAAAACTGATTTGAATTGATATTTGGCCAAGTTAAACATGATTGGATGAGTGAAACTAGCTCGAATCAAAATTGACCCAACCCAAATAGATTTGAATCGACCAAAATCAAATGTAGTTGAATTTTTTTATTTTTACATGATAAGCTCATTTTCAATAGACTAAAAATCAACCCAATTCGAATAGTCAACCTACACTGCAAATAAAAGTCTCCTTAAATGAATTTCACCGTAGTTGAATGAACCAAACACAACCCATATTTGATCCATAAACCAACTCACCCAAATCCGAACCTAAATGAAAAGACTTATTATGTAAACTCTTATTTCTAGATGATTTAACACTACACCAATTAATATAAGCATTATATAATCCAATATACCTACAGAAAAGCTTTAGTAAAATATACATATACCCCAACGCCATAATTCCCTAGTTACTTATTGCAAATCTCAAATTGTAGTTATTATATTAACCTTGAAAATCAAGGCGTTAATTATACATCCTTTTGTGTAAAGATTGAGCAATAAGAATGATAAATGAATCCACAGAAATAACCTTATCATTTCAACTACATACGTATGTACTCAACTCGTATTTCAAAAAATTGAAGAATTGAAATGGTACCAAGTTTATGATCAGCCGTTGGTTTTAGGAGAGAAAGACAAAGTTGAATGCAGCCACACACACCTATGTGCTATATATGTTATGTTATGTTATGAATTCAAGTATGGCCCTCCAAACAAGGACTAGTTGCCACAACTAGCTTCTGTAATTCAACCCTTTCATCAATTGTCGTCTGTCTTTTTCGTTGTAGCCTTAGATTAGCGACTCCATACCAACGTATGTACATACTTTCATAAGTGATAAGATTTTTTTTTTTTTTTTTTTTTTATATCAATATGACGTATTTAATTATTTTCTGTTGCCTACTATTTATGGGTATTTATTTGGAAAACAATCGTGCTCCTTCCTCTTTTTTTTTTTTTTTTTTTTGAGTTGTTGTAGAAATAATAATACTTCAAAATAAAAATCTTATTCTAATGTTTTTTCTTGACTACACCTTTGTTCAATGTGATATATATATATATATATATATATATATATATATATATATATATATATATATATATATATATATATATATATATATATATATAATTAATTTCCTTTTCATATTCTATTTTATCTATTATAAAGTATATTAAATACTATCCCGTACCTGCAATTTTGCTTGAAAATTGTAATTAAGTTTATAATAATAATAATAATAATAGCAGTAATAACTCTCGATTTAAATGTCAATGCAATAGTTAGAGCAGGAATTCGGGCGAGGCCGTGCCACCTCGAGCCGAAGGAAGGGCCGGAACGAGGTGAAGGCGGGCTATGCCGTGCCGGGCCTTCAAATTACACACCCTAGCCCACGTCATGCCCTACGTGCCTGGCGGGTCGGGCCGTGGGCCAGTCCATTATTTTTATTATTAATTAATTAATTTTACTATTTTTATTATTTTTATTTATATTATTTATAGTTCTTTATATTATTATGGTTCTTTTTATTATTTTTATTTTTATTTTTGTTATTTTTATTATTATGGTCGTGCTGGCGGGCCAAAAGTTCGTGCCGCCTACGGGCCGACCTGACGAATGCCCAACTATAGCAATAGTTGAACAATTTTAAAGGTTTTCACACTACTTATTTACTCCGTATTACATTAAGTAAACTCTTGTTTCTAGAAATGTTGGTGGATGTAAGAAAAATGAAAATAAAGTAAAATAAAGTGTATAAGGCAAAAAAAAAAAAAAACACCTAAGTAATAAGATATAGTAAATGAAAAGGGGCGAATGGTTAGATTGGTTACTTTAAACTACTTGTAATATTTACGGACGAGTTGATAGAATTAAAAGGTGGCCGGCTTGGAGGTGTAAGAAATTTTGGAAGATTAATGGATGAAAATGTGTATGTATTGGGAGGTAATAATAATACCTCAAAACGGATAAATAAATGGAGAGTGCACACCTTTAAAACAACACAAATTCTTATATGTGGCGTCAACCAGCGCAATCATTATAAGGGTTACTTCTTAATGTTATAGGAGTTACTCGGTCAGTGTTATATAAGTTATTTCATCAGTGTTATAGAGGTTATCTGGTCAATATTATAAGGGTTATCCGGTCAGTATTACAGGGATTACTCATCAGTGTTATAAAAATTATTTTGTTCTTTAATAAGCAGCTACATAATGTGACCAGCCGCACACAAGATGCACCGTTAAAACAAATACAAGTAATATAGTTTGCAATGGAGGGAGAAAAAACTACACTAACATATAAAGTCCATGTCACGGACATTTCTAAAGGTGATGATCTGACATACAAGTATATATATCAGGTTTACTAATCTTAACACGAATACGACTTCGACCTACACACAAATTTATTAATGTGAATAACCGATTTATTTATTTAATTTTTTTTTTTTTAATAATAATATTACCGATTGAAGCTTCATGCGACATTGGTCCGGCATAATTACTAGAAAGCTAGCTTATACATCAACTTTTTATGTTACTTCATCTTGAATAGACATTGACTTTATATAGGGTTATTTGTTACCAAGTACTCCCTTTGTGTTTTAATAAGTGTTATAGTTTGACTTTTTTTACTATTTATATAATGGTTTTGACTTTATTAATTTACTAATCTTTTATATAATTTAAGAAACGTTTTTCACGAGAAGCCTCCAAAACCCAAATACTTGTCTCACATTCACTCCCGCTCAAATACATTAATCCCTCCAAAAATACCTACTTTAAAATTTAGAATTCTAAAAACAATTAAACTTTAAACAAAAAAAAATAAAAAAAATAAAAAAAAAATCAGCTAATAACTACCACTACAAAGTACAAACTACCCACTAAAAAAACTGAAGGCAAGTTTATCCAACAATTACACGGTTAAAATAAATCCACTAAACATATTCTTCTCCATTTCATAATCTCAAATCTGAATGCAATACTCCCAAATTAATCCATTTTGAAGGAAAAAACAAAAAAATTACACACTTTAACCCATCACCGTCTAGACGCCTGGACGCTAGCGTACTTGTGACATTTTGCGGCGATACATATGCCTCCCACAACCTTACTGCTACTGCCAATTACGGTTAAAAGTATGTTTATATCCACCTATTCCTTTTGAGTGGAAAAATACCTTAACTTTCAATTTATATCTCTTTTAAAATAAAAAATTATTATTTTCTCTTTGGTTTATTTGTTATCGATAATATAATTTAGTCAATGATGATTATTATTTTAGTTTTTACCAACCTTCAACCATAAGAACTATTTCGTCTGTAACTATTAATAGTAGTTTATTGGCATTTTGATTATTGTTTGTTTTATTTTGATGCATTGATATTTTGAACTTTTATTTTTCAATTTTAAGTTGCAAAGTATTTGCTGGGATTTGAATCATTGATTCATTGAATTGGTAATTTGCAGGATTTTAAGGTACCTCTTTCGCCGAAGAGCTTAAGAGAAAGAAGAAAAAAGAAGACAAGGTATACATAGATATGGATTAATTGGTCAAGTTTAATATGACTCAAGTGTATTAAAATTAGATAGAGCAAAGAGGGTTACTGTACATGTAATATATAGTAGTTCAAAACTTAATATGAAGTATATATTATGAAGAATGATCGTTATAGTTTTATCTTCATAGCCTTATTATGTCAATGTTACATACACTTGATTGGTTGCACAAAATTAATGGGTATGATGTTGTGTTGAGTTTAAATACATAAAATTTAAGCGTATGTTGCTGAATGTTCCCCTCCTTTGTGTGAAAATTACCAAATTAAAATGAGTTTGAGTGGCACTTGCTCAATGTTATTGGAGTTACCCGTTTAACTACCCATCATTCTTACTCAATAGTTAGTAGTACTATTTTCATCATATTCTGCCATTTTTAATACTGTAAAACTTTTCAAAGGCCATCATCAATTCAACACAATACAATCCTATGTTTATCTAACTAACTACATATATTAAAGAAGCACGATCCTTGCGACTATTAATGATGCAATTACGTCGATCTACACATCAATATCACGATGGGACACATGAAGTAGAATAATTTTCTAATGAGATTAATATGAATGGTACTTATAAGAACCATTAATATTTATATTATAATACTAATACCTTGCATAAAGGATTCTATTAAATTTATAAAAACTTTCATCCCAGAAAGCTCACCTAATGATGGGATAGACAATGATGCTAGACCTGATGAGAAAATTGTCGGAGGGAGAGATAACCACCTTGCCAAGCTACTTAACCACACATATTATTGATATCAATATTATTAATTGATATTCACTGAAATAAATTATTTACATGCAAAAGTGACTCATAAATGTCGTAGAGATGAGTTTGATAGACGATGGGAGTTTAGACCTAGAACGGTTGTGTGTCCTAATTGCAAGGCCCATATGTGGATAGAAGAATGGGTAAAGAGTAGCAATAAAACACACCCAAGGTTCAATCACTACTGTCAAAGTGGGCAAGTTATATTGCCGCTTTTACCTTTAACACCGCCATTTCTAATGTCAATTTTGCCATGTCAGCAATTTCGAAGCAATATTAGAGCTTTTAACTCTATGTTAGCTTTCACCTCTATGGGCGGTCGGATTGATAACACCGTTAATGATGGTAGAGGCCCCTATGTCTATAGTATAAGTGGTAGCAATTACCATCGAATTGGAACTTTACTCCCTGAGCCTGGAACTGGGCCAAAATCTGCACAGTTGTACATCTATGACACTGATAATGAAACATCCATCCGGCTACATTACATGGGGGGTACGGAGGCTTCTTCCCTAGATCCAAAAATTTTACAAGGACTAAAAACGATGCTTGATGATATAAATCCTTATGTCGCAGTATTCAGAAATGCTGGCAGTATGTTGCTCGATCAATGTGATCATCAAGATTTAAGAATAAAACTTATTTTCGCAAGAGAAGGTAGACAATATATCCAACCAACCGCAAGTGAAGTGGCAGCATTGATGGTAGGAGATGAAACTGAAGACACATGTAATCGAGATATCATATTGCAAAAAGTAGATGGTGGGTTACAAAGGATTGATGAAACTCATCCAAGTTATATGCCTTTGCAATACCCACTATTGTTCCCATATGGCACCGATGGATGGAGAGCAGAGATACCTAAGGTGTCCGGTACAAGTAACAGTCGAAATACCGTGACAATGCAACAATTCTATGCATTTAGGATACATGATAAGGAAGAAGAGGGTGACACCTTGATAGATGTCGGCCGGTTACTGGAACAATTTGTTGTTGATGCATATGTTGCAATGGAACAATATCGATTGCTTTTTATAAGGAGAAATCAAGGTAGGCTTCGCTCTGACTTATACAATGGACTCCAAGATGCAATCACGGCTGGAGATGTGAATGCTATTGGTGTAGGCCGAAAATTCATATTACCATCATCCTTCACACGAAGCCCCCGTAATATGGCCCATCATTATCAAGATGCTATAGCAATTGTCCGTTTTTTGGGTCCACCTGATTTATTTATAACTTTCACTTACAATCCAAACTGGCCTAAGATTGTAAATGAGATATTTACACGTGGAAGTCGCCGCACTGAAGATAGACCAGACATTATAGCGCGTGTTTTCAAAATCAAATTGAAACGAATGCTTCGCGATTTGAAGGATGAACGGAAGTTTGGGAAAGTCATTGCTGGTGAGGTTTCTAGGTTAATTATACAATCGTACTATATTTCTTGACATATTACATTAATTAACATGTGTTATATTTCATGTTCTAGATTTTTATGTCATTGAATTTCAAAAGTGAGGACTTCCACATGCGCATATTCTCATAACATTGGCTCCAGAAGATAAGCCTAAGTGTCCAAAGGATATCGATGTACTTGTTTCTGCGAAAATCCCTCACAAGGATACAGATCCTTTGGCATATGAAACAGTTACCAAGAACATGCTCCATGGACCATGTGGGCCATGTTTAATATATGGAAAGTATTCAAAGCATTTCCCGAAGAAATTTCTCGAGGAAACCACCTTTGATGATAATGGCTTTGTGCAGTATAGACGTAGACAAAATAGAGAGCCTATCATTGTTAATGGAAGGGAGGTTGATAATCGCTGGGTGGTGCCATACAACAGAGATCTATGTGTTAAGTACAATGCACACATAAATGTTGAGCTTGTTGCTGCGAGAGGTGTGGTGAAGTATCTATAAAAGTATGTTGCTAAAGGTCAAGATCGAGCAACGGTTGTCATTGAAAACAATTCAACCACACGACGTGGTCAAGAGGTACGACAAGCAAGTAGGGTGGATGAGATACAAAAATACTTAGATTGTCGGTATGTATCATCCATTGAAGCATGATGGAGAATATTTGAGTTTGATTTGCAACATCAATATCCTTCAACGGAACTACTTCAGTTTCATCTACCTAGTGAACAATTTGTGGTTTTTAATGATAATGATGATATGCATACAATCCTTGAACAACCGAGATTGCAACAAACCATGTTAAATATGTGGTTTCAAGCTAACAAGGATTTTCCAGAAGCAAATCAATACACTTACCAAAATTTTCCAACGGGATTCAGATGGGATCTTTCTTTAAAAAGGTGGACACAACGACAAATTGATAGACCTTGCATTGGTATATTACCTTTTGTTCATCCAAATTCGGGGGAACGATATTACTTACGGATGCTTTTAACTAAGGTTTCTGGAGCAAAATCTTTTGAAGATATACAAACTATTGATGGTGTCATCCACCCTACCTTCAGATTTGCATGTCATGCCTTAGGGTTGTTTGACGACGATAATGAGTGGCTTGCAACTTTGTCAGAAGCATCTAACTGGGTATAGGGTTCACAATTGAGAAACTTGTTTTGCGCCATATTGATGTTTTCAGAAGTAAGTGATCCGAAACAGTTGAGGGAACAGCATTGGGGTGAACTTACTGATGACCTTGAGAGAATGATGCAACGTCAAACTAGAAACCCTAATTTACGACTAACTCCCGAAGAGATGCAGAACCAAGGAGTACAAGAGATTAAGCATATCTTGAATAAACTTGGAAGGTCATTGTCAAATTTCCTTGACATGCCACAACCTTCTTTGGAGATAGCACGCAATGCCTTAAATCGGTTGATAAGTGATGAACTTGATTATGATTCACATTATGAGGCCAATAGATTTGATACCTTAGTTAAAGGGTTAAACACAGATCAATATAGAGTATATGCTGAAAAACTTGATGCTCATTCTTGATATGTAGGTGGGCTGTTTTTTTTGTCTACGGTAGTGGTGGGACAGGAAAGACATACTTGTGGAACACTCTTATTGAAAAAATTAGATCCGAAAGAAAGATCATGCTCTTTGTGGCTTCATCAGGAATTGCTGCTTAATTATTGCCTGGGGGTAAAGCTACATATTCAACTTTCAAGATTCCTTTCGATCTTGATCAACATTCGGTTTGTAACTTCAAAAAAGACTCAACCCGTGCTGATTTGATCCATGAAGCATCATTAATTACATGGGATGAGGCTCCAATGACCCATCGATTAGCATTTGAGGCGGTAGATCAACATTTCTAGGACATTTGTAATGAAAATATAGTTTTCGGAGGTAAATTAGTTGTTCTTGGTGGAGACTTTAGGTAGATACTTCCAATGGTGCCAGATGAAGGACGAGAATCTATTGTTGCAGCTACCTTGCACTGAGCGTCCTTTTGGAAAGAGCGCCAAGTTATGTGCCTAAGGATAAACATGCGTTTATGTCGAAGTGAAGTTCCCTCCAATACCCTTGAACAAATTCAAGAATTTGCTGATTGGATAATAAAATTTGGAGAAGGAGATATAGCAGGAGTTCCCATTACAGAGGAAGGGGAACCGAATTGGATTGAAATGCCACATGATTTTTTGATAACTGATGATGAACATGGTTTGCAAAATCTCATTAACTTTGTCTACCCCAACTTGCCTTCAAATTACATAGATTGGGAGTACCTCAAGGATCGCGGAATTCTAGCACCAACAAATAATGATGTAGATGAGTTAAATTTGAAAATTTTATCAATGCTACCAGGAAATGTGCAGAGATATTATAGTTCGGATACTTTGGGTCATACAGAAGATGGTGGGTTCTTTGATAACATGGAGCCTATGGAATTATTAAACTCATTAAATTTGTCAAGTCTTCCTAATCATTACTTAGAGTTGAAAGTTGGTGCCCCGGTAATATTAATGCGAAATATGAACCAATCCATAGGGTTGTGCAATGGAACACGCCTTATAATCAAGAAGTTGGGTTATAGGGTGATTGAAGCACAAGTGATCACTAATTCAAGAGCTACGGAATCAGTTCTGATTCCGTGAATTGATTTAACACCTTCTAACAAGAAGATTGATCTTCCTCTCAAAAGAAGGCAATTTCCATTAAAATTAGCCTTTACCATGACAATAAATAAAAGCCAATGACAAACGATGAGCAAAGTTGGCATTTTTCTCCCTAGGCCCGTGTTTAGTCAAGGCCAATTATATGTTGCTATGTCACGAGTTACATCTTCTTTCGGGCTAAAAATCTTACTACAAAATAAGAAGGATGTTTCTAACAATTTGACTAAAAATATTGTGTATAAGAAAGTATTAAACAGTGTAAATTAGCTATGTATGCAGTTTTGTTATAACATTTATTTAGTAACTCTTAGCAATGTTTGTTTTAGTGTAATTTCATAGCTATACTTTTTTTTATTTTTATTTTATTTTTATTTTTTTATAATTCTCTTTGTCATGTTAATGCTTCCATTTTACTTTATGAAAGATTTATTTTATTATCTATACTATTTATATAACCTTTATACATGTGCAAGGTTGGATCGATAATGATATATTATGTAAATTATTTTTTATGCCCAGTTCAATGATATTAAAATACAGGAAATGGACACAAGATACACACCATGTCGTTTTATTACCCTTATTAAATTGAAAGTGAATATGAGAGTGCATTTATTATGGATGGTCAATGAACAAGCTAGAGCTAGAGGTACAAATTACGTCCATCGTTCATGGAGTATGGTATTCATTGACTCAGAGGTTTGAACTATATTTTTACTTAGTGCTTAATTTGTTTTTCCAATATATTCATTTATTTGACACTTATGTATGAAATTTTCAATTTCTAGGGGGATGAAGTTCAAGTCACATTATTGAATACCGATATTGATAAATATAAATAGATTTTGAAACAAGGAAAGGTTTTTTCAATTGCTCAGCTAGAACTTATGCCTCCAGATACATCTTACAAATATGCCAATAACCAAATGAGGTTGAAATTTGGTAACAAGACCATGATAACTGAAATTCTTGATGATTGTGATGATAACCAAGGTAGGGCTTATTGAATTTTGCCACATTCCATAGTACCTTCACATGTCCAATTCTCCACTCATCGGTATGCGCCTTTTAGTAATTAAAATACATAACATGAATATTTATTGCATTTTTAAAATTATTTTTGAGTTTTAATGGTCATATCATTTTTTCTTGATGATGAATGTACACAGTTGTTATTGGATTGGTTATATATGTGTCTGAATCATATAGAGTCTCAAGTGGGAGACAACAATTCAAAAGAGATGTGTTACTCTGCAACACAAAGTAAGAGCATCTTACACAATTTACAATATGTTTATGTAATTATAACAACTTATGCAATGTTAAGTTTTTTTAAAAAAAAAATCAAAAAACATATTTTGATTTACAGCATGGATACAATGAGGCTAACTTTATGGGAAGGGTTTGCTCATGATCAAGGTCGCTTCTTATTCCATGAGCTTAATCAGGATCATGTGTTGGGTGCATCCATGGTATCAGTTGGTTCCTATTATGGTAAAATACTTTTTTTAAATTAGATAACCATAGAAAGACTATGTTGTCATTTACTTTATTATCATTGCTTGAATACTTTTATTAACCTTCCAATAGGTGCATGTCTTTTGACTGTTGGACGTACTAGGCTTTTTATTGATCCTGATATTGATGAAACGGATGATCAACATGGATGGTAAGCCTAAAAACACCGTAGTCAACAATGTAAGTTTATGTTGCATACTTATGTATTTATATAACTCATATAGGTATGCGGATGATGGAAATGTCCAAAAACATATCAGCTGGAGTCAGATATTAGCCAATAGTATCTCTCAAATGAAAATGGTGTTTAATGCTAAAAGGATCAAGTTAAATCAGTTTTCAGTTGCTCATAATGTATGTATATCAACCATTAATTATGAGCTATTTGACATTTTCTTATACATGAGGTATTTAATATTTGATGTGTTTTTTTTAGGTAAAATACTTTCGAGTACTAGAAAAAGTGCTATCCATTGATTCTTCTATGCCTATTTGGTATGAATCATGTGCTCGACACTCAAGGAGAGCTGATATGTGTGTGGAGTATGACCCCTCCTTTAGTAGGTCAAGGTATTTTCACTTTTTTATTTTATTTAAAAAATATTATTATAACCTGCTTTACACATCATTATACCTAATTATATCATATCAATAATAACATATATAGAATCAATGTTAAATTGACGACGCTACAAATACATTATCTGTTGTACTCTTTGGCCAATATGCTGAGATGATTATCGGTTGTCCAATATCAAGTATTCAAGCGATAACAAATAATGTAAGTATACCCTTTAATCATATATTAAGGAATTACACACTTGCATAATGATTAAATATGTTATTTATGATTAGGAATTTGGAGACTACTTTTTAGAGGAGTATCTAAATATACATTCACTTTCATACTAAATGTTCCTGAGATAAGAAATGATGATATCATAGTTGCATCTATTTTACAAGTAAGATGGGAGGAAGAATTCTACTACTTGAAACGAGAGATGCGGGGATAATCAAATTGAAGACTTAGATTCATTCAGCATAATATTTCAAGACTTATTTTTTTGTTTAGGACATCAACACTTGGTTTTTTTATTTGTCATCATTTTTTTTTGTGGTATTTGTTGTTACTATTTTTTGTTTTATTAAAGATTATCTGCATCTATATACTGTGTATTTTTGTAATCCTATCCTTAATTATAACCCGTGCATTAACACGGGCACATTCTAGTATATAAAAAAACAAATGTTATTGTATAATACATTGTTGGAATCGTTGTAATGTATACTTTCATATTATAAAATTTCCTATGATTTTACTAACATATAATTAGATAAATTAAGGGTCAAAGTCGTGTCTCGCCATGCGTGTTTGGTCAAATTGTAACACTTATTAAAACAGGGAGGGAGTACTTCGCATATTGTTGTATCATTTTTCTAACCTTATTATCCCACAATTTTTATATAAGTATATTTTTTTAAATTAGCTTAACAAAACAATTTAAACAATATTATTAAAAATACAATTAATCCTATTTAGTCGTGGTTGCAAGGAGACGCGCCTTGTTCATATATACAATTTATAAATTTTACCATCAATAATAAAGTCATTACTTGAATTTAATAGCATTTGGTTAAGTACGTATGGTGTATTTTTTTAATTTTTTTTTCAAATGTAAGATGAAGGATCCTACTGAATTGGCACCTCTCACATGTTAAGTCATCCAAGCTCCGCAGGGCAACACTTGGGAGTAGAGGGGGGAGGTAAGGGAATTCCCATACTCCCAAGCAAATGTAGTTAGTGAGACTCGAACTTGTGACCTCAAATACACAAGTTCCCCACCAACTCCACCAAGCTTTGATTGATAATTGATATCTGTTTTAAGTACGTATGATGTATTGGTTGAGCCACTGAGGTGATTTATGAACTTGTGCCTACCTTGAGGCTTGTGAGTTAGTTGTGACCATATTATAAGAAAGTCAGAGGTCATATGTTTGGACTTTGGAGCCTACAACTCGATTTTTGGAAGTGAAGATGGCGATAGAAAATACAAGTATATTGATTAATGGAAAACACTCCAAAGATAGGCAAAGATATTACATTACCCTTGCAAAATAAGAGCATATCATAAACCTACTTCTCCCTACCCTCACCTCGATCCTTTAAAAGTCTAACCTTTATATGTAGCTAAAATAGGTTAATTAGACAGTGTAATGTTTCAATCGAATCAGGTCATTCAATTCTCCGTACCATATTATTAATTTAGGTAAAAATTCTACGGACAAGAAACCCAGAGATCTACAATTGATTGAGGTGTGACCATTATAATTGAGAGTAAGGTGGCAAAAATTAGAGAAGGTGTTTACACCTGAATGATCAGTGAACATGAGTACATGCATAAGTTGACACTTTGGCCTTTTGACATGGTTCTGATTATTGTGCATGAAACTTTGCAACGTGACTTCCCTATTGTAACAACAACTGTTGCACA